TATATATATATATATATATTGCCCTCAACAAGATTATTAATTTCTCAGAGTCAGATATTATGACATAGTCAATGTTTGTGTCTGCTGTAGTTTTTATCAACTGCCAAAATTAAATCATCAAAAAAATTCAAATTAGTTTAGGAATCAGCCTGTTCATGTAAAATGACAGGTGAATTAGTATCATTTGGCCAGGAAAAATTAAAATACGATTCTTTAAATGAAAGTACTCTACCCGGGCTGGGCGTGGCTGAGCAGTTGAGCATCGACCTAGGATCCAGGAGATCACAGTTCGATTCCTCGTCAGGACACATTTGCGGGCTTGATCCCCAGTCAGGGGCGTGCAGGAGGCAACTGATCAGTGACGACTCTCTCATCATTGATGTTTCTCTCTCTCCCTCTCCCTTCTTCCCTCTGAAATCAATAAACATATATTTCAAAACATGAAAGTACTCCTCTATGTGTTGAAAGGAAATAAAAGAAAATAGACTTCAGTAATGATATGAAACATGAGTGATAGGACATAGGACTGAGTCTCTGGAAGTCAGAGACTTTCAAGTTTGTGGAAGCTCCTTTGTAAGTTTTTAAAAGCAAGGTATGTTTTACATCCTGAAGTTACTTCCATGTGGTTCTCTTGTAGGGGTGGGGTATTTATTAGTGGTCTCTCTAGGTCTGTCCTACTCCTACAATTATATACTTTAAACCAATTGCAGGATCGCTATTATCTTTGTAGAAAATTTAAGAGAGCTGAATTTCAAATGGTCAAGATAACTTTCTGTGTGTTAAACTTTAATCTCTACAATTACTATACTATGTGTTTTCAGATGAAGTACATGACTTGCATATTGACATAAAGAAAGCTGACAGCACAGTCTGTCAGTTACTGTGACCTCCGTCTATTCTTTATGCTGAAATGCATAATTAACTTAAAATTATTAATTTAAAAAGTAATTACTGCTAGTGATGAATGTTCAATAATAAAGACTATTTTCTATTTGAGTACAACAAAGGGAACAGCAGAATTGGAATAACCTTGCAGAGTTTTCAGAGATTTAATTACTACTTTCTGCTCTTTCTTGAAACTGTTACAGTGCCTTCTAAATTGAATATTATGACACATGATATTTGGTCAACACACACACACACACAATCTGATCCCACACACATGAACATATCTGGAGGATGTGTAGGCTAATTTATTATTTGTGGCTAACAGAACTGGGAAGGTTATCATGGCAAAACCTGATGTTTATTTAGCTTCTAATTAAGGACACAGCTATATATCACATAATGTTCTGTACTGGTTGGAGCTTGCATGTTGCTTGGCATCATTTAGGTTAAGATGATAAACTGCAATGAATTAGACAAAGTAAAAGTATTCTACAAGATAACTGCTTTCAGATCTGATAGCTCCTGGAACTCTCAACTGACTGTAATCCAATTTCATAGAGTTGTTAGTATAAAATCCTTCTGCCTTTAACAATCTGAATACTTACAAACTATGTATTAGTAGTTGGAGAAAATATACATTGTTCATTTGACAAATAAAACTGCTAATGATAGGTGGCAAGGTACCTGGGATAAGACAAAAAATAAAGTGTTGATCAATATTTGACAGCAATACCTAAAAGTAGCTAGAAAATTTGAAGATAAATCAGAGAAAAACTGTTTGAGTCTCTGACTACGGGGGTGGCTATTAGAGGGTCATGGCTGAAATGCAATTATATGTAAAGACAGCTAGAGGTGAGGTCATATGTGTTAATCTCCCCCATACTACCTTTGGAGGGTAAAATGTTCTACTGAATAGCTTATTAGATGAAAAATGAAGGAGCAACAGTCTGGAGTTCTGGCTAATCCAGACCATTTTGTTTAGAAAAATGCCCCATCACTGTGGGAAAATGTGATTATTGACAAGCCAGTTTAGCTTTATACCACATGGCCTTTCCTTTGACCACATGTGCTTGGATCAAGGTGGACACCTGAATTCAGGGCAGTTCAATTTTATGCAGATAAACAGGAGCAATCAGATTCTATCTCAGAAAATTATAATAAGATACCCACATTCCAATTGGAAGCCCATAAATGGATCTTGAAACAATGTCAGAGCTGGAGAAATCGTATTTGACCATACGCACAGTGATGAGAGAAACATAATTCTTCATAGAAAATCAGTGGTTTGAAAATATTCAAAGAGTAGCTGTGGCCTGAAAGAGGTATGGGGGGAAAAAAGCTATTTAATTATTTATATATCTTGTATCCCTCATAGAACCTACTATAGCGTTATATGCCTTTAAAGGGGATTTAAACATCACATTGCATAAATTCATTAATTTTTCCATAGGGACAGCATATTTCCTTGAAAGCCTTAGGCATAAGAAATTCATGTAAATTTTTAGGAAGAGATATTCGCAGATATTTTTCATGAAATGATATACTATTCAGTATCTTTGACTATACATTTACTTTCTATATGCATATATACACATCTATTTCTATATAAATATTATGAATGAAATACATATTATATATAAAATATACATTATATATACATGTGTTATATATATACACATACATACATACATACATGTATTATTAATACATATATATCCTGAATATTTTATTCCGTCTTTAAGCCCTACCTCACCTACTATGTGTGGTCCTTTTTAGGATTTTAGTTCAGTACCTTAAGCCTTTGCACCGCTTGTTTGAATGGGCCACATGTTTGCATGTGCTGTTCCTTCATACACAGACTCAGGGGCTGACCCTCTTCTCCGGGAATCTACAGCACCAAGGTTGCCCAGACTTGTTTCCCTATGTCTTCCAGCCAAAAGGAAACCTCCAGGTTTCACGGTTTTAATTTCCCACACTGCTTCATGACAGGCTCACCCTCTGTGAGAGTCCATTAAAAAGATGATAGAGGAAGCATCCGCACCACCTCTGTCATCGGCCTCACTAGTGGTGCCACTCCACCCTAGGACTTGGAATACATCAGGGACTCACCCAGGAGAGGAAAACTTGGAGAAAAGACCACCCATTTAGTTTTGTGGCTGTCCTAACAAAAAACCTCAAGGGCATGATGAATCTCATAAACTGGGAGTGCGCCATTCCCGGGAAGAAAGGGACCCCTCAGGATGGAGGCTTGTTTAAACTACAGACACTCTTCAAAGATGACCATCCATCCTCACCTCTGAAATGCAAATCTGAACCACCTTTATTTCACCCGAGCATGTACCCTGCCCTTCAGGCACTGCTGTGTGCCTGTCCATCCTCGAGGGAGACAAGGACTCGAGGCATGCCATCAGGATTAAGCAGATCTTATTAGGAATAGAGGAACTTCTAAATGAACCAAATATCTAAGATCTAGCTCACACAGAGGCCTACACAATTTACTGCCGAGACAGAGTGGGATATGAGAAAAGGGCTGGAGCAAAAGCCAAGAAGTTTGCACTCTGATAAGCAGCGACCTGTGGCAACATCAAAAGGAAGAACTTGGTTGTTTCTAACATTTGCAGATTTAGTCTTGCTCTATACAATTACCAGTCACCTAGGGGAGGTGCGCAGGCACCATTTTCCATTTCTGGCACTGGCACATTTTCCATTTCTGGTACATATTTTCCTTTTCTGCCACTTGCTGAATTGCCCAGTTTTTCATACAGGTCTCTTCCTTCAGTCTTTCGTATTTTTGATTGTTATGTAAAACTTGCTTTTAATATTGATGTATTTCAACTGCTGTAAAATTATAAACTTTTATACTTCGAGTCCCTGAGGAGCTAGTTCCCTTTGCTCAAAGGAACAGGCATGTTTCCCACCGTCAGAGCTACAGCAGCCTTCCGCAGGCTTTATGAATCCACCTGTCCCCTGCTCTGGAGGCGCTGTCCTTCTCTCTGCAGAACCCAGGTTGTGTTGCTATGAACTTCAGATACATAGTCAGCCAGCCTCTTGTTTCCACATCACTTCCTGTGTGTTTATATGACCTTTTGTCTGTGTTGCTGTTTAGAGTAAATAAACTGTTCACATAAAGGTTTTTTAAAAAGATACAGGAAGCACACTGTGGCAACTACTGATCCAAGTTTCGACTTGCCTCAATAATCTGCCTCTTTATGTTTACATTACAGAATTCTCACGAAGTTACCTTTTATAAAAAATAAAATTCATAATTTTATCAATAAAATTTTAGTTATTATAACCAGGAGAGTTTATTATAACAGAGCATGCTACCATCGCAGAAGCAGAAATGCAATATTCCTCTTTATGTTTAGTTTTATATTTGTAGAAATTAACTAGCTAGATCATTGAGCATATGCCTTTAAAATTCTTATCCTGAAAGAATATTACATCATTTTACACTCTCATCAAATACTTTATAAAATTTCTGTTTTCCTACATTTTCATGAATGCTGGACATTAGCAAACTTTATCAATTTTTTCAGTTTAGAGAAGGAAACCAGTAACCTATCATTGCTGTACATTCTATTTCCTGATTATAAGTGATGTTGTGAGTCAGCTGTTTGTATTATTTTTTATCAAATTGTCTGAACATGATATTCTGGTCTTTACATTTTTTGTAGACCTCTGACACAGAGAGTTTATTCGAAAATATTTCTCAATCCATGGGAAAATATAATTAATTTCGTGAGCAAGTCCCTTCTTGTTTTATTTTTTATTATTTCTATTTCACTATTTCTTTTTCTCCCTGGACCTCTGTGGCCAGCTCCTTGTTTGATTCTCTAGGGAGCCCACGCCAGTATTTGGTGAATGAATTAAGTGTGGGTATTTTATTTTAAAAACAACAATAAATATATATATGCACACATATATGTAATGCAGTTTTGGGTAATGTATATTTAAATTTATGTAAGAAATATTATGTTACAGCCCTCATTGATTCCCTAATGTTTTGAGTCAACATACTTTTAAAATAGATCAACGATGCTTTATGTGTGTTTGTTGGTTGTGTCTGATTGCTGCAGTATATTCCACTGTTAGTCTCACCATTTTACTGATGGAATGTGCTACTAATAGGTACCTAAGTCAACTCACTTCCAGGTAACAGTATGCTTATTCATTTCTTTTTATTTATCTACTGGCAAATTGTTCTCTAGAATGACTTTAACTTTATACTCTGGCATAATAATATAATTTTACTAATTAATTAATTTACTTGATTTTGTTTTTCCTTCACCCATGATGATATAAGCCTCCTGAGAAAAAAGTCATTACTTAGTTTTGTTCCTTTTTGTTTCCATAACACTAACCCCATAGCATCAGAGATAAAGATGCTCAATAAGTAAGAAAGAATAAATAATTATAACTTCTGGTTACAATTCAAGAAGGTAATTGCTATTGTTCTTCAAAATTTGCTTAGATCATTTCTCCTAAAAGCATGAACTTAATGCTGGAAATATACCAGAAGTTTCAAGACTGACTTATCTTGTAAGAACACATTTATTTTTATCTAAAGAACCACAGTAACATCAAATGCTGGAGAGAATGTGGAGCAACAAGAACTCTCATTCATTGCTGGTGGATATGCAAAATGGTACAGACACTTTGGAAGACAACTTGGCAGTTTCTTTAAAACTAAACATAATTTTAACATTCCAATTCAGCCACTGTGCTCCTTGGTATTTACATAAAGGAGTCAAAAACTTATGTCCACATGAAAACCTGCACAAAGATGTTTAGCAACTTTCTTCATAACTACCAAAGTGTGGAAGCAACCAAGATGTACTTCAGTGGGTGATTGAATAAATAAATCATTGTACGTCTGGACAATGGGTTATTACTCTGTGCTGAAAAGAAGTGAGCTATCAATGCATGAAAAGACATGGAGAAACTGTAAATACATATTACTGAGTGAAAGCGGACAATCTGAAAGGCTACATATTGCATGATTCCAAGTATATGGCATTCTCGAAAAGGCAAAACTATAAAGACAGTAAAAAGATCAATGATTTCCAGGGGCTGGGTGAATATGGGTGAATATGTGAAGCACAGAGGATTTTTATGACTATGAAAATACTCTGTATAATACTATAATGATGGATACATTTGTCCAAATCCATGGAATGCACAATTTCCAGAGTGAACTCTAAAGTAAACAATGGAATGTGGGTGATTATAATGTATCAATGTAGGTTCAACAATTGTAATAAGTGTACCACTCTACTGGGGGATGTTGATAATGAGAAAGGCTATGCATGTGTGGGGTCAGGGAATATAGAGGAAATCCCTGTACCTTTTTCTCATTCTTGCTGTGAAACTTAAATTACTGTAAAAAAGTAAAGTCTTAATTTAAAAAAAAATAGTAAGAAACCTAATTTACAAAAGAATAAAATTTAAGAGAATATGAGAATGATAAATTTCTCTAAAAGTATTCACTATGAAGTTCCCTAATGTAAGTTCTAATTAGCTTTAGAGAGTGTTGAAAACACATAATTAACTTTTTGGTAGTGTTTGGGACTGTAGAAAATAAGAAATTGGTATAGAAATTTAGTGAGATATAAAGATAAAATGTCTGTTGACATATAAGTTAACACAAAAAAATAATTTTATTTACAAAAAATAGTTTGCTCATTAATCACAAATATATCCAGAATAGAGTATAAGAAGCCTTTACATTTTACAATACTACTGAGAACAACTCATTCTCTGCATGCAAGAGCATCTGTGGGTTATCCTGAGGAGATGCTATCAATAGTGCAGACTGCTGACATAAGTGTGGTTGATCTGAATGAGCACAGGTATCTAGGGCTGAGCTTTTCATCTCTACGGAGAGGTTTTCTTTGGAAGCTGTTCCAAAACAGAGATTTTTTTATGTTTTATAGGTTTTATTATCTTATAGGTTATCATAATATAAGGAAGACCCTGAGCAAAATAAGTTGTAGCATAGGAAATAGGGATACAGAGTTACTTAGCTCACATTTTGCTTAACAGGATTCATTTTCAAAGGTAATAGTTCTAAGGATAAGGATATTGTTTCAGCAGAAGCTCTTAATTAGCAAGAAATATGGTTTGCATTGTATTGCATAAATAGGTGGAGCACAAAATTTTTTATTTTTTGTTTTCAAGTGTATGATTTGATAGACATATTACTGAGTTTCTATAGTCATTCACTTATTGTTCTGATATTATGAATTGGAAATATTACATCCCACAAATCGTAACTGACTTTTAAACTACTGGTTACAGAATATTATTATAA